CAACAAAAAAATCGTGCTGTAATATACGCTTTTCAGCATACAATATTAATTAAAGTGAAGTACAGTGCATATATCCCTTCACAGAACTAAAGTATGCTTTTAAAAAAGGTTTAATGAGATGATGGAATCAAAGCTGAACTGTATAAAAAGGCACACATGCTCAAAACCCAACCCCAGAAGGGGGGTCTGGGGGGATTGTACCCCAGGCGATTTTTAGCAATACTAACATAAACTACGCATTATGGTACACTCTGAGAAGAAAATAAATAAATATATTACTACCCGACATATTAATAATATTTTATGCCATTGTTTGTTTTTCACTTTGTTCTGAAGCTGAACTTGCTGCTCCACACAGAGAGAAGAGCAAAGAGGAGATAGTCTGTGTGAATTACTTTACATTGTGGGAAAGGGTAGATAGCTCCCATTGTTCTGTGACCTGTCAATCATCAAACCGGGGGTCATATTTAATTATTTGTTCATTTTTATCTGAAGTTGAACCCATGGATGTATAAAGAATAGTTCTACCGCAAAGTTATTCTCCGTGGGGACTTCCGGCAACAATCTTGATTCTGATTGGCCAGAAGACTCGAAAAAACATCAGCAAAGTTGTTTTATTGAGAAAATGATCACAACATGACTACTGGTCTCCGGTACTTCCAGTCCAACGCCTACTGCATGCAAAGCGTTAGAATTTTTTTCTTCACTCTCACATCCGCGACCCACTCGAAACGGGTCCGCGACCCACCAGTTGAGAACCACTGCTTTAGACCATTTAGATGCATACAAACCTCTAGAACACACTACAGGAAAGGGAAGACTACAAAAGGCAGAATGGGGCCTCTTTCAAATAAAAGCCTTCGTCTTCTTTTGGGTTCTACAGAAGTAACTGATGAAAATGATTAACTTAAACAAGATGGTTTGCTTCTGCCTTCCTAACATTTGAAACGTTATTTTTTCATCAACATACCTTGATGAGCATGAACTTGTGCATGGGCTCGTACCACTGCAGCAGCACCACACTGGACTCCAGGCCGCAGCACAGGAACACACACCCCCCCACGCTGCCTGCTGCAGGACACACACTGCAGTTAGTCCTCTCACAGTGTACAGGGGCATTGCTAGCCCTTTATTGGAGGCATATATCAGAAACAGGCCTTATGTCTATTTGAAAGTTTATTTGGTCATGTGTTAGTATAAAGCTTTATTATTTTCTCATCTGCTCCTCATTGCCCTGTTTAAATGTTTTCTTACTGCATTAAGACAGAATATTTTCTGTATCTTAATATTTCAAATCCAAAGCCCTGTAGCATTTCCCTCAACGCCTTCACAGATTTTGCACACAGTACTTTGTATGTAGCTACTCCCATCTTGTGGTACTTGTCAGTTACTACAAAATACAGTCTGTCTGGGACAATAACACACATTCCTATGTGACTAAAATGGAATAATAACACTTTAGATTGAGACCAGAAAATTGTTGGAACAACCCGATTACATTGTTGAATTTATTATATGAAAGCAATTCAATGTACTTTATAACAGGCACTAGGAGCTCATCCACCCTTGATTTGTTTTTTCAATAAGACTACCAACCTTTAACAAGAAAAACTGAATTTCAATACTCAAACTAGGATTGGGCTAATTTGGTTTCAAAAAGAGCTGACAGCCATATAAAGGGAGCATCCTGTCCAACTGCATCACTCCACACACTATTCAAATTAAGGTAATTACGTGCAGCCTGAATGTATCCATGTGTCCATCACACATTCTCTCTGCACAGACATTTTTTTGTTGCAATACTTCAGTATTTTTTCTCACCAACTGCGCAGGTCTTGCAGCCTTTAGTATCAGGTATTTTACATGTCACTGCAATTTTCCTGTAAACAAAAAAATGCAAAAATAATTTAGCTTTGAACTGGCGTGAGCAAATGTGTTATTTAGAAAATAAAGAAATATTCAAATTAAACAATAAGTAAAGAGTGTTACTTTGGTAACAGTCTGTGAGTCGGCAGGGAAACCATCCTCTGGTCTCTGCGAGCCTGTTCGTAAAGCTCCTTTAGGGAGTGTGAGTGGAGCTGAGAGGATTTACCTGGAACCAATCAGAGCAGTCGATTCCATCACAGGGTGGATACAGGTAGACAGAGAAACACACACATCATCACTAACATCAGTCTGGACACCCCCCTGACTTTGTCATCATTCCATGTAAATGTGCAGGAAAAGTTGATTTGTTATTGTATTGCTGACTTTTAAGGCATTGAGAGGTTCTTATCTGACCCTCTAGGGACTTTGGAACTCCCGAGGAGACCAGGGCAGCAGTATCTGTCTGCTTGTTTAAGTCACTTTTAAAATCTCACCTTTTTAGAATTGCTTTTATGTGATTTTATTTGTAGTCCTTTTTTATTTTTTTATTTATTCTTATTGTTTGTTTTATTATTTTCTATGTGTTTTACTTTGTGTTCTTATGCTTATATGCTGTTGTTTAATGCACCTGCTGTCTGTGCATTACTATGTTAAAGCACTTTATTACTATGTTTTGAAAGGTGCTATATAAATAAAGTGTATTATTATTATTAGGTCACTTGGCTTCTGACTGAATAATATGATGGACAAAGTAACACATACATGATCAATTAGGGAATATCTATATTTGTATCCAGAGTTTGATCACTGTCTCACTGTCTCAAACCACTCAATTCAATAAAATAAGTTATTCTGCCGACTAAAATAAAAAACTAAAAATACTAAACTGTCCTGTTATATTTTCTGTAAGTTCTGAGTGAACAGAGACACACAGCTAAATTAGGATTGAATTCTTATTCAGTTTACCTGACACAGACATGAGGACGTTATTGATGGTGTAGACCCAGGTACACTTCCCTGGATACAGCTGAAAGAGAAGAAGAAGAAGACCTCCACTCATTTCAAGCTTTCTGTCACTGATAGACTAGTGTGACTGATTTTCAGCAGTGATGGGAGAAGTATGCAGACACTCTAATGAGATGTAATTATGGTTCATAAAATGGTCCCTGTCAGTGTTTTTACTTTATATACAATGTAATTGGATTTATATTACTGTTGCAGTATGTTGCGGTAGAAGTTTAGGGTAAGCTCGCTGTAACCTGCCACATATCTCTCAAAAGTCAACTTTTCCTGGGTTTCTCAGAAACTTCGGCTTTGAGAAGATGCATTTTAGAGCTGATCTAAAAAGGCTTTTTAATGTATAAGAAGTGGGAGAATTTCATCAACACAAAATAGTAACATTCACCATGAACACATCTGGAGATACTTGGGTTTCATTGGACAGGGAGGGAATGAAAACATGGAAATCTGAAAAGTAACTAATGTCAGACATATGTAGTGGAGTACAATATTCACCTCTGACATGTAGTGTTGAAATACTAAGTGCAGTACATTACATGTGACCTTAGGAACAGTACTTGAGTAAATGTATGCAGTCCACCACACCCGAGTCCACAGTTAGTTAGGCAGTGGTATAGCTCTGTGTTATAAATGTTGAAGGTCCTACCAGCTCCATGGTGGCCTCGGAGCTGCTCAGGTTCAGGGTGTAGATCCCCTCCTCCGCCCCCAGGATCAGGTGCTGGTCTAAGGGAGGGACAAAAGGAGACACAGGTCAGATCAGAAGAGAGAACAGAGGGTTTACTCTGATTAATCAGACTGAGGATACCTCCTTTGGCGGCCGTGCTCTCCCACGTTGTGGAGCAGTTTATCTTGAGAGGGCAGCCGTGGAAGATCTTTTTAAAGTAGACCTGGAGAGAGAGCAGAATTAAGGGTTCATTTAGTCCACAGTGTAACAGGTTCACGCCCTGACACAAAGTCTCAGAACATGGATGAATGTATATTTCTGCTCTTAAAAACACTGTCAGTTAGAAAGTGAAGTGCTTGGTAAAGATCAGTGAAGTTATGATCAGTTGTATGGCCTATACAAATGAGTGACAAGTTCAGTTAAACACATAATACTGAAAAAAGACTTCATGATTATATTTTCTTTTATAGATACACACGTTTCCATTTCTCAAACATAACTCTAAAGAAAGGCTTCTCTGGATGCTTGTGCAGCACAAGGAAAGTAATACGAACAGATACATAGAGAACAAGTATGCTAAACATATAAAAGATATTTAAAACAAAATGAGAATACAGTAAATGTCGAAACAGCGAAGCTCATGTTTTCAGTATAAAACAGACTAATGTATGATATGATGAAGAAGTGTTTGTTTGTACATATTGAAATGATATTGTACACTATGGTAGATAATTATAGGATATGAGATATAGTAAAAGGTTGTGTAAATGAAGTTCCAAACTAAGCAAGAAAACACATCGTCATTTCAAAGCAAATTAATATAATACTGAAAGATTTGGAGTTTAATGTTAGAAAATATGACAATTTTTTTATTTTACAACCGTCTTTGTTCAGGCTCAAAAGCTTGACTGGAAATATTTGTAATAAATGTGGAGCCTGCTGGATTTGAATCTTGGATTGTGTTTTTACCACATGTGATATGAGTCGCATCTCAAACCCTCCGGAGCAGCGGAGTTTAAACTTGTGGAAAGGAAAGACACTCACCGGGGGTTTCTTCAGGACAGGGCTGCTGCACTCAGTGGGGTCCTGAGGATGAAAGCATTACATTTCATCTATATAGTTGTGTTTGTAATAAGAGTAAAAATAGTGAGAGCACAGTTACGCAGAACCCAAAGTGACATCTTCCCAACATTTGCTTTGTCCAAACCTCAACTTACACATTACAGTTATTAACATCATTATTGTTTTAATTATTTGAATATTCATTAATCTTCTTATAGTTTCAGCTGTTTTCAGCTCATATAAACTGTTGTCTATTTTATAACAAAAATATTTGATAAGCTATTTTATTGTTTTGTGTGCAGAAATATTAATTTGTAAAGAAACAAAAGTTGTCATGTACAGTAACTGTGGTCAAATCAAAAGTATTGCCTCTGAAATGTAGTGCAATCAAAGTTAAAGAGCAATGACAAACTCAAGTACCCTAACTCTGTGGTGAGTAATGAGTCAATGTGTGTAGTTACAGCCCTCAGATTGACAGGCGTACCTTTGAGGGGGGTCTCCATTTGCGTATGCCTTTAGGGGGGAGCTCAGGAGGGGGGGAGTCTGCTGGGGGGTCCATCAACTGGACAGGGAAGGACGTAGGGTCTGGATTGCACACACACACACACACACACACACACACACACACACACACACACACACACACACACACACACACACACACACACACACACACAAGAAAATAGACATCGATTTTGTTTTTATTGATGGGTCATTTATATAGTTTGAATCATATTTCACACTCAATCTAGAGTGAGGGGGTGTGGCCCACCTGAGTGTCGGGAGGACCGGGGTCTGGGTGTGGGTCGGACCTGAGACACACTGGTGGTCCTGATGAGAGGGGTGGGGGGGTACAGAGAGCAGGGCTTCCCCCCCCGCTCCTCCCCCGCCATGCTCTCCTCTGAGCTGCTGCGAGCTTTAGGCTA